ATACTTATATATATACACACACATATATATATGATATGTGGTTTAAGATATAATCTATGATTTAAGATAAATTATAACCATTGGTATATCATTATATGTCTAAGAACATTAAATAAAATTAAAAATTCACTTCGTTAGACACTAGCCACATTTTAAGTGCTCCATAGCCATGTGTGGCTAAACCCATTGCTGTCCAGTCGAGACTCATGGCCTCATAGCAATGCTATAGGACAGACTAGAACTGCCCCACAGGGTTGCCAAGGCTGTAATCTTTACGGGAGCAAACTGCCACATCTTTCTCCTGCAGAGCAGCTGGTGGGTTCTAACGGCCGACCTTTCGGTTAGTAGCCAAGTGCTCAACTACTGCACCACCAGAGCTCCCCATGTGTGGCTAGTGGCCTCCATATTGAACAGCATAGATATAGAACATTTCCATCATTACAGAAATTTCTATAGGACAGCACCGGAAGAAATTATATATATTCTGAGATATACCCCTGCCCTCGGTGCCCCCCCACCCCAAAAAAAAACCATTGCAGTCAAGTCGATTCCAACTTATAGTGACCCTATAGGACAGAGTAGAACTGCCCCATAGGGTTTCCAAGGAGTGGCTGGTGGATTCAAACTGCTGACCTTTCGGTTGGCAGCCTGAGCTCTTAACCACTGCTCCACCAGGGCTCCATTCTGAGATACCGTGTAAACTCTTTTGCTCAGAGGAACTTGAGACTAATTATTGTCTATAGCTCATGCTTTCCATTCTAGAAAAATAAATGAGAGCATTTTATTTCTAAGAATAGAGAATATGATTGACCTTGGGACATAGGGACCTGAGGACATAGGCAGATATGTACCAAATAACAGACTACACCAAGGGGCTACATCTCAGTGACTCGGTTGAGTCACTGAGAACAAAGAAGAGAATTCCCCAGCTGCTAATGGAGAGCAAACGGTGGGGTGGATAATGGGGACGGAGTGTCTGTGTGTGCCAGGAGAGGGGGATGTAGATGAAGGATGAGGAAGGCTATATAACCAGGCTTCTGTTGATAACTTGGGCCATCCAGCTCATATGTGACTTTGCTCCCATCAATGGGTGTTAGCAAAGGCCACAATCAGGTAGGAGACACTCAGAAGGTTAGTGAAAAAATAACCCAACTTCTCAGCATCGTTTGGTGGTCCTATTCCCAAGGTGGTGGTGGGGAGCTGCTCTAGGTGGAAATATACAGGTGTGTGTGCCTGTGTTTGCCTGTTTAGTTCTAAGACAGAAGAGGGAAGTGAAGCTACATTATGTCATCCATCCATCCACCCACCCATTTATTGATGTCTATAAAAATCTATTGAATGCTTAGTGGTATGCCCTGAGGTTACAAAGATGTGTAAGATATGGATCTTGTCTTACTCCAGAGAGAGTAAGATGGGCACATAAACAGATAATAATTCCAAGTATTGAAAATATGACAACAGAGGTAAGCCCAGGGGACCGGGGAACACAGAGGAGGGGAAAAGCCCACTCCTGGGAGTACTGAGTATAATTTACAGAAGAGGGCACATCTGAGTGTGCTTTTGTTGGATAAAGGCTATGTGTGTTTAAGGTGGAGGGAATAGCTCATGCAAAGACTCTAGAGTTTATGTATGTCTGTGGTACTGGGAGAGGAAGCTAGAAAAAAGGATTGACGTCAGAATGTGAGGCCAGCCTGCACATGTCCACACACTGTCACTTGTACTTGTGTGATGCCTAGTCATTGTTACTTAACTTACGGCTAGTGTGGCTAGAGAGTGCTGTTGATGCACTAAGAAATCTCAGCTGGAATCTCCATGTCAGATCCGGGGACAAAGCCAACTAAAGACAGCACGTGCAACTAAATTAGATAATTATGTTTCAGTGCGACATAGTTGGGGACACAACAAGTCCCATGACCTGGCAAGACCTTACCCTGGGCAAACAGAATACTGTCACTACCAACCTGAGTGAGTCTTTCGGAAGGAAGTGGTTGGACTTGAGAGGCTCTTCAAGTATCCCCCAAACTGATGTCCTCAGGTACCTTCACTGACAATGTGTCCTTTGGCATTACAGTATAATGTCAACTGTGTTTGATGCATGTGTCAGAACACTCATTTTTGTCAGGCCTCCACCCTGGTTCTCTACAGGACTATTTTGCCAGTAAATTAAGCTGAGGAGTTTGTTCATGGGTGTTGTGGACTGAGCTGTGTCCCCCAAAATTTATGTTGAAGTCCTAACTCCTGGTACTTGTGAACATGACCTTGTTTGAAAAAGGATCTTTAAAGATGTTATCAGTTAACTGGGCTCATACTGGAGTAGGGTGGGTCCTAATCCAATCTGAGTGGTCCTGTAAGACAGAAGAGATACGGAGAGAGAGACCAGGAAGATGGCTAGGTGATGACAGAGTTAGGCTACAGTTACAAGCCAAGGAATACCTTGATTAGACCAGAAGCTGGGAGACACAAGAAAGGATCTTCCCTTTGAGCCTTCCAAGAGAACATGGCCCTGCTGACACCTTGAATTTGGACTTCTAGCCCCAGAATTATGAGACAATAAATTTCTGTTTTTATAAGCCATCCAATCTGTGGTACTTTGTTATGGCAGGCTCAGGACACTGATACAAGGGGCAGTAGGGAGCCACAGATTTTTCAGCTGGGGAGTGACATGATCAGTTCTTTGCTTGCAAAAGATCCCTTTAGTGGTGACTTGGAAGAAGGGCAGAAGTGGGGAGAGACCGTAGTCTAAGTCAGGTGAGGGATGACAAGACCTGGGCCAAACCCTTTGGCCCAGATAATTAGAAAGACACTAAGATAAAGTTGCCACAAGAAAATGTACATTTGTCTTATAAAAATAATTCCTTCAGAATACCCAAAGGGGTCTGTGCTTCCTTCCTAGTCCACACACCCCACCCCCCGCCAAGTAATTAAGAAGGGAATCTGATGTGGGCACAAGAGAACCCTATCTGCTTTTGGGCGGGGTCGCTTCTGGGGAGCATGGACCCTAGGTACAAAAATCTGTCACAGCCCAGCATGTTTCAGAGCTGTCAGCACCACCTAGGAGCCACCTGAACTGGTACGGAGAAGGACTCTTCCCCAGGGCAGGGCAGGTTAGAGATGGAACTCCCACGCAGGCTTCAATCGGATGGCCCTCCAGACGCTCACAACTTCCTCCCTGCCTGTTTGTAGGAAAGGCCTGTTTATGGCAGGGCTCAGTCCCCTCTGAAGTGCCTTATCATGGGCAAAAATAGTTAACAAAAAACCACCATAAGGGAGTGCATCCAGGAGAGGTATTTAAGGCTGACACTCAGGAAAAGCCAGAGAATGAATGTCCTCCTTGCAGTGGGGTAAGCTTTCTTTAGTTGGAAGCTTTTTTCTTGCTTCCATAAACCAGCCCAACCTCTCCACTCCCTCCCATTGCCCAGTGTACCTTGGAGACGAATAGGGTCAGAGTCTGTCCAGGCAGAGAGGTCGTGCTCTGGGAAGCAGACCTTTGCACTCAAACAGCTTAGCGCGGTATTGAAGCTTAAGCCGCTGTGACATAACTGGGGGAAGCCCGTGCTTCAAGTCTGAACTTTGAGCATTGCAGATAGAGACACTGGAATGTGCTGCAATCAGTCCAGAGGTCCAGACGCAAAGAAGCGAGTCTCTGACCCAGGCTGAGATGGGACACAGGCCAGCGTCTATGAATGGTGTAGAATTAGGGCAATGGATCTAAGTTCAATCTTGATCAACCTGTTCACTTGATCCTTAAGAAGAGAGTGGAATTAAAGCCCAGATGCACATGAGAAATTACAAACAATTTGTCATAAAATATACCTATGTTTGTTAGCTCTTCGGTAACTAGTCTGTATTTTATTCCATGGTGCGTGGAGGTGGTTAGTCAATCTCAAGAGTTCCTCTGAGGTCTTAAGACATGTTCTGTGTTCAGAGCCCTCAAGACACTATTAGAGATGGAGCCTCCCCTAGGCGAACCCCAGTGACAACTACTGTCAGGGTCCTGGTGCCTCTACCACAGATGCTGACTGACAGGGTGTGAGGGGCCTGCATTGCCAGGCAGAAGCCTTCCTTCCTGAGCCTCTGTCGGCACATCCTGCTTGAGGTTATCTCCTCACCTTCATCGCTGCAGCCGGGGCCCATGCAGGGCTGGAAGTCCTGGGTATCAGGGCAGGGGACGCTGAGATCCAGCTGTGCCTTCAGCATGCGCTGCCGCATTCTCTTGCCCTTGTCGCAGGTGGAGGAGCTGCAGGCGGACCACGGGGACCAGTTGGAGTAGATGCACGTTTCAGGGGTATCATCTGGAAAGAGCATTTGGTGTGTTTTCCCTAGGGATCTCTGGAAGCTGTGACTAGCCCTCTCCCCAGACAGGCTCATTTGGGGACAAAAAATAGATCTCCGGCGCCTGGCTGGCCTCAGTGAGCCTGGGTACTCCAGGGATGAAAGCATCATTCACTTCCCTTTAAAAATTATATTTTAGTATCCCACTAGTAAGTATCTAAATAACATGAACGATTCTCTTACTCTCCCTTCACCTCAAGGCATGACGTCTTTTCATTTCCAGACCCTCACCTTGGCAGACGTCGTTCCTACACAGGTGCAGGCATATCACGGGCGATTTTGTAAAGCACAAGACTTTTGTGTGTGTGTGTTGCTGCTTTGTCTTCCCAGTGATCCCATACACAGGTTCATGATAAGAGTAAGGGCAGCCGATGTTAAGTGAGCACTTACTATGTGCCAGCATGGTTCTGAGAACTTTGCATGTTTTATCCCACTTAACCCTCACGACAACTCTCTATGAAGTGGGTTCTGTTATTATTTTGGTTAATATTATGTTATTATTTCTCATTTTACATTGAGGAAACCAAGGTAGGAAGGTTAGCTTCTTGCCCTAGATCACAGAGCTAATGAGAACCCAGGATGTCTGGGTCCAGATCCCATGAGAAAACTTGGACTCAAGCCATGGCTCTGCCAGTCACTCCTGGTTGTCAGCTCTGGGCTTCACTTTCCTTGCTGGGGAAGAGGACAGACCTCTGCTTGCCTCACAGGCCAGTGTGACAATCAAAGCAAAGACTGTTCTGATAACTGTCAAGCCTATTCAAATGCCTTTTATATTTGAATCATTTTAAAGGCCTAACATTGTTGAATATCACTATCACCAATTTCCTAATAATTTGTGTCTAGTCTTGGCCTTGTTTTAGATTATTTCTAGAGGAGAAATCCTCAGAGATAGGATTACCACATTGAGTGTTATGACTATTTTTATGGTTCTTGAAATATGCTAGCAAATTGCTTTCCTGTAAAATGGTTGTGCCAATTTACATTACCACCAGCAACAAAGGAAAACACCATACCTTCGTCTTTCTCTTCTGGAGCCAGGTCTGCTACAATATCGTCAATATTATCAGGTACAATATTGCATTGTTCCCCCTGCAAAAGGAATTTATTTTACTTGGAGGACTCACAGAGAAAGAATGGAATGTTGGGGGGTGGGGGAAGATGAGGAAGGATATATAAACTAATGCCCATCCTGTATATAAATTCCAGGTCATGGCAGAGTTCTGGGCCAATATTTGCAATCTGACTGAAAAAGAAATGCCAAGAAAGCAGTAGTGGCTAACTCCGGATGGTAAATACATGACTCACATAACACCCATTCCCAGTTCCTTACCATGGCAGACATTAGTAATCAATTATGCAACTCATGATGAAACCTATTTGCCAACCCTGGATCAAATCATCCAGTTGAGCACTGGGGCCTATTACTGTGTTCATTATAATAATTTGTATCTTATGAAATACTTTGTATATTAGAAAGCCTGGGAGGCCCAGGAATTCCATATCCTGGGGTGATTTCTGCCAGGGACTTTATGATTTTGGAACAGAAAGGTATGCAGTCTCTTTGGTATTCATGGAGGGAGGAGTCTGTGCCAGGGTGAACTCTAATCCAATACCTTCCGGGCGATTCTCTCGATGACAACTCTAGCTACTTGAGTGATAGATCCACCTTCTGGATCATAGAAAGGACTCTGAGGGTGGTCCAGACTGGTCAGGGGCCGAATTTTCTCCTGGGGCATTGTGGGCTTGTTGGGAGACTGCAAAAACAAACAAACAAAAAAATCAACGACACAGATAAGGAGCATGGAAATAAAACTGGTAAAAACCACAAAGCAATTTGATTGTTATGTGGATCCGAACAAAAACCTGGATAGGAATGTAACAAGAAATGTAACTACTATTTATATTTATAGAATCCTATTCATGCCAAAGGAGCCCTGGCGGCACAGTGGTTAAAGGGCTCGGCTGCTAACTGAAAGGTCGGCAGTTGGAACCCACCAGCCACTCTGAGGGAGAAAGACGTGGCAGTCTGCTTCTGTCAGGATTACAGCCTTGGAAACCCTATGGGGCAGTTCTACTCTGTCCTACAGGGTTGCTGTGAGTTGGAATTGATTTGATGGCAGCCAGGTTTGGGTTTTTTATTCATACCATGTGCTGTGCTTGGAAATTTATACATCTATAATTTCAAATTCTTCCATGTACAAGGTAGGATTGTAGCCAGATGAAGAAGCCAGATTTCATTACGTTCAGCTAGTAAAGGTCTGAACCAGGGGCAGCAAACTTTTTTCTGTAAAAGGTCAGAAAGTAAATAGCTTAGGCTTTCTGGGCCACGCAGTGTCTGCTGCAGCTACTCCACTCAGCCGTTGCGGTTTGGAAGCAGCCATAGACAATATGGAGTCAACCGAGTGTGGCTGGGTTCCGAAACTTTATTCACAAAAACAGGTGTTAGGCCAGATTTGGCCCACGGACCACAGTTTGCCAACCCCTGTACCACATTGTTCTCCCACTGTTTTTCTGATGGCTGCACATTTTGATGCCGTTGGTGTGCCGACCATATCTGAGAAATAATTGACATTCACAATAAAATCCAAACTCCTTAGCCTGGCTGTCCAGGCCTTTGGATCTGGCCCCAGCCTTATGCCCATCAACTTCCTGCTGTTCCCTATGCTCTTTTTGTTTGTTCCTCTTTTTTTTTTTTTTGCTGTCCACGCCTTCCCCATGGTGTTCTCTCGCTTCCCTGCGAGCTGCTCCTTACTGAGCGGCTCCCTCTCCACGCTCTCCCCGTATTTCATGGACACTTCTCTCAGCTCAAATCACTGTGTGGGAGCCTGTGCTCTTCATTCTCAATTTTTTTTGGTTTAAAAAAAAAAAAGTTTCTTTTTTCAAAGAAAAATGGCAATAGCCAATTGGAAACCTACTTATTCTTCAACTCCAAGTTCCTTTTCTTTAAAGTTAGAAGTGACTCACTGATTTACTATTCTAAACCACTCCCCTTTTCTTCCCTTTAAATGTTTAACATCTATTCGTACTGAACTCTCCCAAGGAGATCACTTCAGCATCTCTGTCCAGACGCTAGCTCACTTGGAGTGGGGCATGTATGCTGGCCTCCCCACCAGACTGAGTTAACCGTTCTCAGGGCAGAGCCTGCCTCAGATTCATCTCTGTGCCCATGGCGACCGGAACAGGGCTGGGCGCAGAGGAGGCGCTCGAGAAGCTGTGCCCCTAACCACTCCAGGCACACACATACCTCATAGGTCACCCCGCTGTCGGTGCCCGCGTCCCAGGGAATCAGGTCTTGCACCACCTTCTGGACCCAGCCGCATTCTTTGGTGCACAGATCCTCTGCTGACAAGCCCACATTCCAGTCGGGGCTGGGGCCCATCATAGTCAGGAAGGACATCAAGTGGCGCATTCTGTCCACAGAAAATTCAGCCGAGGGCGCTGCTCTCCTAGAAAGCAAACATACAGACCATTATATTAGGCTTTCGAGGGATGCACCCTCTGAGGGACATATGCCCAGAACCTGGCTAAAGGGTGAGAGGGACAGACAGTATGCGAATTCTCAGCCTCCCACTGAGCTCTGCCTTTGGCCCTTACTGATTTATACACTCTTCTCTTCCCTGAGTTCCACCCACTGGACAAACATGGAGAGAACCATATGGTTACTCATTACTAACTATCCAATTTAATTGTGTCCAAAGCACTTACTATTATTTTGTATTTCCTTGCTTATTTATTTGTTTAGCTGTTTATTGACAGTCTCCCCCTACTGGAGAGGAAGCTCTGGGAAAGCAGAGTTTTTGTCTGCCTTGTTCACAGCTTTACTTCCATTGCCTAGAAGAGTGCCTGGGAGTCTCTGAGTGGTGCAAACGGTTAATGTGCTCAGCGACTAACAAAAGGCTGGAGGTTCAAGTCCCCCCAGACCTGCCTCAGAAGAAAGGCCTGGCAATCTATTCAGAAAAATCAGCCATTAAAAATCCTATGGAGCACAATTCTACTCTGACACATGTGGGTTCGCCATGAGTGAGAATGACTTGACAGCAACTGGTACAACAGTGCCTGGCACAGAGTAGATGCTCAGTAAATGTTTTTGAATAAATGAATGAATGACTATTCTGTGCTATGTCTGTCCCCAGCTGTGTTAGATATGAGATGAACTTTCCCACTAAAAACTACTTCACATCATCCCAAGCCTTTTCTTACGCATTCTCATCTAATCCTCTCAACAGACCTAGGGTACGGATTATGGGCTCCAATTTATGGATGAGGAAACTGAGGCTTAGAGCGAATATATAACTTGCGCAAAGTCACAAAGTTACATGGCAGAACTGAGACCATGACTCAAGTCAATATTAGTTCAAGGTCAGTGTTTTTCCTACCATCTGTCTCTAAACTTTCTCTCTGCCCTTCTCCCTCTCTGCCGAGCTCTACGCTGTGCCATTGAAGGGGGCGTCTTCCCCAGCCGCTGCCTCCATTACCCCAGGGAGGCTGTTGATAGCAAAGCCCAGCCCTGGCACCTGCTCACACGTTGACTTACAGCTGGTTCCCTGGCTACTGCTCCGGTCCAAGCAGGGATCAGCAACAGAGCCAGAGACCTTTGGCTGACAACCCTCAGCTGCTGGAGCTAAAAGCCCAAGCCCACAGCTACAAGAGGCAGTTCTTCAACCTCTAGCTTCTCCTGTTGCTTAGAAGAGGAGTGCCAGGGCCGCAGGAGATCAGCGTCCCTGCCAATGTGCCCCCCGCAAAGGGACTCACTCAGCTCATACTTGGTACCAGAGCCACAATATTTCATTTTCCCTTCACGACAATCCTGTGGGTTAGAATTATTATCCCATTTTTTAGAGAGGAATCTGAAGCTTATGGAGGTTAACTAATTTAAAGACACCGCTGGGTGGTGGGGGGCGGGGGGGGGGCGCTGCAGAGCTCAGGTTTGAAGGCAGCTCAGCCTGTGTTGACACTCCCAGGCTGCTAACAGTGGGAAATCCTTGGCCAGGAGCCAACTTGTCTGTTCCGTCCAGCTGGCAGCTGGTCCACCTCAGCTGTTTGGGAGTCCCTGTGCCCTCTGTTGGGACCAGCTGCTTGTGGCTGCCTTCACCTGTTCCTAGGAAGCGATGACTTCGGAACTCTGGGCGCTGTGGAACTGATCCCTATGGCTCCAGCAGGAGAAATGGGATCCGAGCAGAGGGCAAGGGGAAGCCTGGGTGTATAGCCTGACAGCATCCTTTATAGCTGTGTATCCTTGGGCAAATTACCACACCTTTCTGTGCCTCAGTGTCCACATCTATAAAATGGGGCTCACATATACTTATCTGTTATGGATTGAATTGTGTCCCCCACAAACAGGTGTTGAAATCCTAACCCCTATGTCTGTAGATGTAATCCTATTTGGAATTAGATTTTCTTTGTTATGTTAATGAGGCCATTAACCTAATCACTTCTGAGTGATATAAAAAGTAGCATAGACACAGATACAAGTAAGCACAAATGGGGGAAGATGGCCAAGGAATTAAGTAATGCTAGGGCTACAGAAGCTGAAAGAGACAAGGATCTTCCCCCAGAGCCAGCAGAGAGAGCCTTCCCCTAGAGCTAGTACCCTGAGTTCAGACTTCTAGCCATCTAAACTGTGAGAAAATAAATTTCTGTTCTTTAAAGCCACCCACTTGTAGTATTTCTGTTACAGCAGTACTAGATAACTAAGACAGTGCCCTAAACGGTTACTGTGAGTATTAAATAAGATAATTTGCATACAATACTAAGTCCAGTGCCTGATCTATTATTATTGTTATTGAGGGAAGCATTGTTGGGCCATATGGAGATCAGAAAGGAAAGGGGAGTAAGGCCTTCCTGAGCAGACTTCACAGTTTAGCCTGAGAGCCGACCAGGCCCTGGCATATGAGCAGAGGAAGAGCCTGAAACGGCCCTGGCTTTGGCCCAGCAGGTCCACAAGGGCCTGGCCACGGCCACCCTCTAAGCCTCTCCCCTCCTGCCCCACTCTGCCCCAGAGGCTCCCTCTGCCCTGGTCAGGTCAGCCCATCAGCAACTCCATGCGCACTTGCATCTGCTAGGAAAGCTCTTCTTCTGTGGTTCGCAGTGTGGTCCTCGGACCAGCAGCATGGCAGCATTGGCGCCTGCCTTCCAGTAACTTCCAGGCCATAAACGCTGGCACCTGAGTGGGGCTGCTTATGTCCCAGCCCTCTGCCCCCTGCCTGGGGGTCCTGCAGTCTCTTGGGAGGCAGGCATTGTCTCTCATTGTTGCAGAAACCAGGCACTCCACTTACCACCTTCACATCTCCCTAAGTATGTGGTTCTGCATCAGGTTCTCCTTCATTTCCTGTATCTCGTGGATGACACTATTCACCATGACAACTGGAGGGCACAAAAACCAGCTCAGGAATCCAGAACTGCAGAATCGGACAAAGCTCCACCACACCCGTCATCCTTCTACTCCGCCAGGGGGTGGATGTAACCATCTGAGAACCCGGTGTGTTTTACAAGGCCTCTAATCATTCTCAGCAAATGCATTTGGGCCAGATCTGTTTTGGCCAAATCTGTAGGCTGAGTCAAGTCCCCTGCAGACCTTGGTAAATGTTTCAAGGGGTAGGATATTTGGGGCAACCCATTCTTGTACAAAATGCCTGACCTCATGTTGGGTAATCTGATAGTAAATTTGAATCTATAAAGACACGGAAATGATTTTCTAGCATCTTCAGATACGTCCCGCTCCTTTCTCTTGCTCATGGCTGGAAAATCCCTCTCCTAACCTCGCTTAGATAACACTTCCTGGAGGCAGCATTTCCTGACGTCAAGCCAGACTTGTTAAGACCCCCGTTATACCTTCCCATAGCATGCCAAACTCGTTCTTGCCTTGGAGTTTCCTGTATAATTCTACATTAAGTTCCAGTAGGGCAGGGCTATTTTTGTATTGTTTGCATCTGTATCCCAATGCCTGGCTTAGAGTTAGGTTCTCCTCAAATATTTGTGAAATAAATGAATTAATCTAGGAAATGAACACGGAGCTCTTGTTCTTCCTCTGACCTTCAATATTTAATTAAAAAATCCCCTGTAGCATTTATTACTTCTATAATAAAAATGATATTAAAATAATGAAATAGATAAGAATATATGTAAGTTTTCCTTAGGAAATGTTAGATATGATTGAAGTTCTTTAATTTGTTTGATACCTCAATAAAAATTCTTATTCATGCTTTCTTGTATGCCAAGTCTTTCCACATGGGCTATTTGGTTAATTTGGTTTCATTTTTCTAGCTAGGATTTAGACTAGCATTGGTTTTCTAGCAAAGAGAGTTGATCTAGACTTCCCCTATATTAAACTATATTATAAAGCTAGATGATCAAATAGTGTAATATTTGGGACAACATAGAAATATAAATCAGGGCACAGAGTGGAGACACCAGAAACTACAAATAATTACTTACATAGGCTTTCTCAAGTCAGGGGGAATAAAAGATTGTACAAGTGGGGTTGGGTTAACTTGATTGAAATTAAAAAAAAAAAAATCGATTCACATCTAATATCATATACTCACCACCCCCCCAAAATCCAGAGTTAAACAGAAAACAACCAGATTATTAAAAAAATTAACTTTTCACATCTATTAGGGAAATTTTCTCAGCTTGGATACCATAGAAGCAATCGTAAAGGAAGAGATTAATTGAATTACAAATCAATTTAAAAACAGCTGTATAATAAAAACAACAACACTGAATAAGAGAGAAAAATGATGTTGGCAAAAATGTTCCAACCAAGTATGACTGACAAAGTGTTAACTCTATATTCTAGAGCTAACCCAACTCCTTAGGCAAAATACTGCACTCCCAATAGATAAAGGCAAGTTATGAACAGACAATTCACACCAAAAAAAAGAAAAATAAAAAACAAATGGAGAAATGTTTCATCTTTTTACATTCAGGGAGGCAGTATGGTGTGTAGGGCAGAACCCAGGGCACTGTAACAGACAGAGCTGGATTCAAATCTTGGTTCAACCACTTACTAGCTACGTAACAGGGACTTTACCTTACCTCTCTTTGCAGTTACTACATCTGAAAAATGGGATCATAATTATGCCTACACAAAGGCTTTTTGTGCTGAATTACATATCATTATGACATAATAACAGGCACTTGGTAACTGTTGAGTTCCTTCTCATTCAACTTTTCCCAACGAAACTTCCAAAAACACCACTAAAGAAAAAACGGCCATCAAAGATTTTCATGCTCCCTATAGAGACTTACTCTCTCCTTCTAAGTTACAGATCCACAGCAGTGAGACCCTAAACTAAGCAGTGGGTTTCCTAAACCACTAATATACTGAATTCTGTCCTTCATCGTGTAGTTTGATAAATCCCGATTAGAGAACTTTTGAAACGGCAGAAACTAAATTCAGCCACTAGGGGGCTCCCAAGCCATTCACTAGATTGAAGTCTTGGCTGGGAAGAAAGGCTCGAGTGAGGGTCCCGCAGCCTGGGAAAACTGCGTTTATAACCAGGTGGCATCAAGGACCCCGGTCTATCTCTCGGCTTAGTTCAAGGCCAGTCTTCCTTTACGATCCTGAAGACACCTGATGGACTTGGTTACGTGCCACAGGAGGAGGAAAGGGCCCAGAAACTTCCAGCCCTGATTTAAGAGAAAGACGCCAGTGGTCTCCTGGGCAACCTTGGTTTGGGGAGAGAGTGGCTATATCTTTCCTCCACCCGCCCCTTATCTGTCTTGTAAGGCTGGACCATTGTCTAATCAAATATTAATTAAACAGAGGTGCTGAGAATAATTAAGGGGACAGCAGTTCTTTGCAGGATTCATTTGAAGAAAGGGAATAAAAATTATTTTTAAAAATTCCAGTAATCCTTAGAATTCAGAATAAACTGGAGGAACTCGGTGATGGAAATTTGGAATCGATTTGCAGGAAACCTGCTTAGCCGGAGGAGCTGGTGAAGGATGTGGGTTTTGTTCACAATCTGTCTTTCCTGTCTTCACCTGCGCTCTGGGCTGTCGAGCCACACAGTCTGATTTATTGAGCTAAACAAGTCAGCAGCTAATTTGTTCATTCATGGCTGTCCTTTGAGAAGTAGTCCTGTGGATAAAGATGAAGATCATTGAAAAACAAGTCAGTTTCCACGGGCAGGACCTCGCAAAGTAGGTCACCCCGGCTTTCCACTGGGCCGAGGGAGGCTGGAATGCTATTAACCTCAATCGAGCAGACTCTGCGAGGAGGGGCAGGGCTGTTTCTGCAAAACAAAACTTGGTTGCTTGCAGGCTTCCTAATTTGACTTCCTAATGAGATTTGGAAGAGGAAAGGGGAGACTGGGCTATGGGAAAATCAAAGGAAAATTCCTTTCCCTTAACAAGCTGATAGCACTGAGGGAAGACGGGGTTGGGTGTTCGGGAGGCCTGAGTATTTGCCATCAGTTGATTCTGGTCCACTGGGGTCTCAGGATGAGTGATGGGTAGTCGGAAGGCGTCCCAAAATATTTTTTTCCAATTTTTAGGAAGTCTGTCAGAGAAAAAATAAGCTCCTTTGACCCCTTTATCCATCCTCAAACTGTACTGACAGACTCCGCATTCTTACTTCCTGCTCACAGTCACCGCCTCACTCCGCAGTAAGGATTCTCGATAAGGTCACTGATTATCCTCTAGTTCCATCCCTGATAGAAAAGCATTTTGCAGCTCTCATCTTACTTGATCTCTCAGCTGTACTGGACAGAGCTGACCACTCTCTCCTCCTTGAAACACTTTCTGTGCCTTCCTCCCTGATATCAAGCTTTTCACCAATCTCTTTGCTGCTCCTTTACTCTCTCCTTTGCAGGCAAGTCCTCCTCAGCATTAAATGTTGGAGCTCCTCAGGACTCAATCTTAAGCCCTTCACTCTTATTCTCTCTCTCTCTGTCCATGACCTTGGTGTTGATTATTTCCCATTCATTGATGACTCCCAATTTTATATCTCAGCCCAGAATTCTCCCTCTGGGTTTCAGAGCTATATAGCTAACTGCGTACTTGACACCTTCAGCTGGGCGTCTTGAAGTCATCTCCAATGTATCTCCAGAACTGAACTCATGATCTTTCCTATCGAACTTCATCTAATGCTCCCCGTTTCTGGGTGGTTCCTCTAGTTATGTCAGCCAGACACCTGGGAAGCATCTTGACCTCACTGTCTCCCTCACCTCCTTATCCAACCTATCATCACATCCTGTAGATTTTGGCCCCTAAACATCTCTCAGATCTCTGTACCTCTCTCCACCCCACACCCCCGCCATCCTAGTTGAAGCCACTATTATTTCCCGTCTGGATCTCTGCATTAGCCTCCTCATGAGTCTTGCCTTATCTACTCTTACCTCTTTCACAATGGAGTCAGAGTGTTGTTATTACTGTTTTTAAATTCAAACCTGATCATGTTATCCTCTTGATTAAAACCCTTCAATGATTTCCCACTACTCTGAAGGTAAAAATCACAGTTTTAATGTTGCGTGGCTTGGCCCCCAAACCAGGCTCATCTTTGATTTCTGGATCCAGCCACACCACAATCTTTAGTGCCTTAAGCATGCAATCCTCTCTCCTCACATAGAACCTTTGCATATGCATTCCCTCTAGATTTTCTAGAATGTTGTCCCCTCCTTGCTTCTTTACCTAGTTAACTCCTACTGATTCCTTAAATCGCACCTCAATTGTCTTCTCAGAAGCTTTCTCCGACACCCAGGCTGATCAGGTCCCTGTCACACACTCTCAGCACCTCATGCCTTCCTTCATAGACATGTCACACTCATTTGTGTGATGTCTCTCCCCCACTAAACTATAAGCTCCATGAGGAACTCTGCTCTGCTCTCTACTATATCGCTAAGCACCTCTCATATCACTTCTCTTCGGAGAACCTCAAAAAATATTGGCTGAGTAAATGAAATATGTCCATCATCCTTGATAGAAGCGCATAGGCTAAGTAGAAGTCAATTTTTTTAAATTTATTTTATTCTGGGGCAGGAGCCAGACAATTTGGTGTGGTCACACTGTTAATTTTTACACTGATCAGAAGCCTGATTGGCAGATAGATATGTCCTGATGGATTTAAAAAATGGGAAAATGAATGGTTACTTAATCAGAGGGATCTCGACATAGTGAAGAGCATAGGCTTTGGAGTCATCTGGATACGGGTTGGAATTCTAGTTCCATCCCTGATAGAAAAGATGATGAGGTTGGATCTGTTATGTAACCTCTGAGTCTCAGTTTCATCATCTGTAAAGTGGGGCCCACAAGCCCTACCTCATGCAGTTTTTATGTGGATTAAATGGGATAATGAACAGGCTTTGGGAACCACCAGCATACCTCTGGTCACCAAAGATTCAGGGGAGGATGACTTCTCCAAGGAGTAGATAGAAAAGAGATGGGGACTGAGAATGGAACCCTGGCTAAATCTGGCTTTCCATGAGACAGTCTTGCTTAGAGTGAGTGTCCCTGTCTGCTCTGAGGGCAGATGTATGTGGAGTCTGTTGTGGCTGACAGCATAGGTGAGCACCTAACAGTTAATCCTTAGGTCTGGGTTGGATCCTCTGTCTTGTTAAAACTATGGCAGGGGCAGGGGAAGGAGCGGGGGCAGGGAGGCCAAGCCTGCGTTCCCAAGGAGATATGGGCATGTGTGAGATGCCACTTCACCTGCTCATTCACCTGAGTGGTGTTGCTGACTTTAACGACATAATTGGTATGCAGTGGCCAATCAGTAGGTGGCTCCAAGTGCAAGGCTAGGACAGGGCAGGTAGGGCCAGGGGCTGTTTGCTACTTACACATTGAGAGGCTGCCAGGCTGGCCACTGGGCTTTGGCTTTGATGACGGTGAGGACCTCATCACTCTGCAAAACAGACCACAGATATTTTGTGAGAAGGGTGAGCTATGGGAACAAGAGCGCTTTGAAATGTGACATTTTCAGCACTACCCCTTGCCCCCACCTGCTGTGGTGTCTAACCCTGCTGGCTCAGCCATGGAGGCCTGCTCTGTGGCTCTCCCGCCCAGGTGTGGAGTCATCCCACCTGGGATGGTAAGGGGTGCATTGGAGCCTCAGCAATACCAGGAGGTAAGGCTGAGTGTCCAGTCCTGGATACTAATGGGCCCACCGAGCCACACCTTGGTTTCCAGCTTAGCTCATCCCTTCTCTACTGAACTCAGAGCCCTGACCTGGACTCCATCTTGATAGGCTAGGCTTCCATATCCTGTCCAGTTGGGAGGGTCAGGTCACATGCTCTGCGTCCAGGCACTGAGTGGGGGACTGCTCCAGACCAGGCTGATCAGTGGGAGCTGCAGTGCAGCCAACACCTGACCCTGAGGACTGTTACCCTGTGGCCTCTCCTGCTGTCAAGACCCATGAGGAGGCCAGAACGAAGGCTGGGGCCCCACACTCCTTGTGCCACTCATGTTATTCTGCTCTATTTTGCTTTGGACGGTGTGTACACCACCATTAAAGCACAGGTACCTGTGATAGCTTTTTGAGGAAGAATTTGATAGCATTTTAAAGGAAACCATTAAGGGGTCATCATGGGGAAAAGTAAGAACTTCAGTGGTCTTGCTTACCTGTACTTTTAGTTTTGGTTGGGTTTTTACTTTGAATTACATATTGGGAGTGAGGGATAGCATAATCTTTTCAAGCACAAGGCCTCTACAGGTCTAAATTCGGCCGTGGCTGGGGGCCTTCCCAAGACGTGAGTCAGCTGGTCCTGGATCTCCCCTTCTGTGATCTGGGCCTGGCAGTGCTCAGACACCATGGTCCATTAGGCATGGAAAACCCCAGAACGTCACTAGCTGGGGAGGGAAGGATTTTGTTGCCAGTGGAGCAGATCACTGAGTTCCTGGAGGGCAGAGACTTGTGGGGCCAGGTTCACTGCTAAACCCCAGTGCTCAGAGCAGTGCCTGATGGTGCACTAGGGGACAAATCAGTGAACTCTCCTTGGTGGGGTACCTTGCCCAGAAAACCCCACAGCCCTGAGGAAGCTGGAAGGAAGGAGATTAGAAGAATCTCCCAGGCTTGTCTGAAGATTAGAAAAAACGTTCTGGTCTGGAGTGCCTTGTCTGCAGCCCAGGGAAGGGGTAGTGGATGGTGGGCCTTAGAGAGGAAGGGAGCTACAGCCAGATTCCAGTTTAGCACTGGGGTTGTAGAAATGGTGCAGGGTGGGGTGGTGGGCAGGAAACAGGCCAAGGGACAAGCCATTAGAGGCAACCCACCAGGGAAGCTCCAGCTTCTTCCTGAGCTCAGGCTTCCCTGTGGGACTCCCTCTTTTGGTCAGAGGAAAAAATCTTTGGATGCCTAGACATTCCCACATTCACATGTCTGCAGGAAACACATTTCCAAGTTCCAACCCAGTGGTTTACATCTCCCATGGGAGACTCATTTATTTATTTAGATGTTTCCCTCACTCACTTCTAATAACTGTGTGTTGAATGACTGAGAGAAGCTGTTTCCATGAAGTTGCATGTGCGACATGATCTATCTTCCTTGGATGGCCTCCCGTGACCCAACCAGGAGACCAAACCAGGTCTCCCATGACCTGGTTTTCCTATAGTTGTCTCAGATGGTCCATGTCTCATGTTAAACTCTTCATCCTACCCCAGAATCCTGCTTCCCTTCCAGTGGGCCCAGCTTTGTTAAAGGCACATCTACCAGCTGCTGAACTAGACACAGAGCATACCAAGCCGTCCTCATCTCCCACCTGCCTCCCATCAGTCAAGCACCAAGACCTACTGCATTCACTTCCTTAACATCTCTTGAGGCCTTCCTCAGTCTCCTTACTGGTCACCTGGCACCAGTATCTTCTTGTTCTCCCCTTAATCCACCCTCCATGCTGCTGCAAATCTGACCATATCCGTGCCCTGCCTAAGCCCTCTGAAAACTCTCCACAACTTCCATGATACCTTCTTCGTTCCTTATTTTGCCTACATTGCCCTGATGATCTGGCTCTGGTCTACATTTTTTCTTTGATTTTTAATTTCAGAACAATACCTGCTTATTGTAGAAACTTTTAGCATCACAGAAGCACACAATATTGATATTGAGCACATTCCATGTCAACATCTACCCAGCCTCCCACCTTATTCTCATTCTCCAGAATGTTAAACAGTTTGGTGTATATCTTTCCAGATCTTTTATTACACAGATGCAATTACTGTATTTTTTCTCAAATAATGTACCCACATAAATAAGAAGCTCACAAATATAACACGAACAACGCCCACACAAAATAATATGGGAGGGGGTTGCAGGTGGCAAAAAAACGTACAATGTGTGCGTTATTTGTGTAAAAATATGGTACGTGTGTGTGTCTATGTATACTATATACAACATTTTCCATCAAAATTGCATCATATCATCTTGTCCTGCAACATGATTTTTAAATTTTTTTCTTAATGCTCTATCATAGGAAACTTTCTGTGTCAGAATATACAGCCTCGTAGCTCTCTAATTTTTTATTTTTAAAATGTTGCAAATCTTCAGATTATAGCAAGCCAGGTTAAGAGTTATAAAAAAGAAATCCAAGATGATTTCTGATAAGGTTTTGTCTCATGACAATTCTTTTGCCCTTGAAGAAATACTTCACTAAAAAAAAAATCAATATAGGTGAGGTTAGGGCAGCCACTGAGTTAGCTGGTACTGCAGGTTGACTTCGCATTGCAATTAAATCTTGGTTTTCAAGTCCCAACTAATGACATATTGATTTTGTTTTTGCAGTATACAACTCAACAAAAATAGTATGGACCTTCCATTAGTGTTTGTTTATGGTGATGAAATTCTGTCTGTTATTTTTTAGAGCTATAGAGGTTCCCAGGGTGTTGCGTCCACGTGAGTGGGCCTCAGAACAGCTTCTTGCTGCAAATTGTTTCATCAGTGGTTATAAAAGGTCTGCAGGATAAACAGTGTATTTCCTTGCTTGTGGTCATTTAAATTCAATTAAATAAGAAAGCAAGTGTATTCTGGAAAATTTATTTAAAAAGCTAAATATTTTTGTTGAAGCATCAACTCTCTGGTAGAATTTAAGTTTCACAGGATCTGCTTCTTCATGGCCACATACAAGTGCCCAGGAATGCTCAATAGATCTTTGTTGAAAAAGCAAAGCCACATCATTCTTTTTAATGCCTGTGCATGGATGTCCCCTAATTTATTTAACCAGCATTATCAGTGGATATTTATTTAGATTGGTTCTATAAATGATGCTATGATGAACACTCATGTACATATTTCTTCACATACCCAACGGTTCCTATGTCATGGGTCCCAGAATTGGTCAAAAGATGAAGCAAATTGAAAATTCTGCTGGGCCTAACAAATTGTCCTCCAAATGTATATGCCAATTTATATTCTTAGCAAGAATGTGTGTGTGCTCATTTCCTTACAACTTTGGACACACTCGGTGTTACCAGTCTTTTTAATTTACTAATCTAGAAGGCAGCAAAGTCACATGGTTGAGAGCACAAGCTCTAGAGTCATACCTGAGTTCAAATCCTGGCTCTACCATTTACTAGCTCTGTATCCACTGGCACATCTCTTGACCTCTCTTAGTTTCCCCATCTGTGAAATGGAGTTAAGAACAGTATCTACCACAGGGGGTTGTGTTATATAAATGAGCCAAGATGGCCTCTGTATATTGGCCTCAGGTTGCTTATTTCTTCATAATAGCCTGAGGCCTGTTAGTCCAAAAAAGCCCACTGGTGCCAAACTCAAATTTTCACACACTCAGTTGCTTTGGATACAGCGCAGATAAGCAGACTTTTAGTCATTTAGTCTGCCTGCTTTGCATACCCCACAAAACTGTGCCCAATATTTGCTACCTAAAGCTACCTATAGATAAGATAAGCTGAAGAAAGGCCTGGTGAACTCCTTCCATAAAGGTTACAGCCAAGAAAACCCTATGGAGCAGTTCTACTCTGTAACACATGGGGTCACCATGACTCAGGGGCCGACGGGAAGGCAGCTAACAACAACAACAACAACAGATAAGATAAACCCTGCAGTTTTAAAAAGGAGCTCCTGGATGGTGCAAACGGTTAACATGCTCGGCTGCTAACTAAGAGGTTGGACGTTGAATCCACCCAGCAGTGCCATGGAAGAAAGGCCTGGTGATCTACTTCTGAAAGATCAGCCATTGAAAATCCTATGGAGCACAGCTTTACTCTGACACATATGGGGTTGCCCTAAGTTGGAACTGACTCAATGGCAACTTCTTTTTGATGGTAGTTTTAAAGACCCCAAGTCACTGCTGCCCTTCAGAGCTCTCTGACCCAGACACTCCCCACCTTGCTGCTAAGGGATATCATCTAGATATGTAAGCTCCCCAACCCTTTTTCCCCTTCTTCTCTGGGAGTTCCCTCATCCTCTTCCCTTTCTTGCCTTTGGAGGATCTCCTGCTTCAAGGGATCACCCCCTGCATGCAAACCTGTCAAAGCACTGTCCCCAATAACTAGCTCGTGCAACACTGCTATCTTGGGGTCGTATCTTCTTTTCCTGATCGGCCGCGAAATCTCTTGAACTCACTACAGGTTGTTAGGGGGACTAAATGATGTAATCCAGGGAATGTGCTAATCCAGTGCCTGGCACATAGTGAGTGCTCCATAAATATTAGCGATCACTCTTAGTCTTACTTACATTAGGCCAGGCTGGTACTCAAATCAATTGGCACTGCTTGGTACAGAGAGTGGAGCACACAGTTGTGTCTACAAACCAGCAAAGCCTCAGGAGAACTTCCCCTCATTACAAAGCTAAGCTCTGAGTCTCAGGGAGCATATGACTGGGGGTTCGTGTGGCTGGGAGGGCCTTGGGTGGGGCCACTGGGGAACAGGGCATGCCACGTTCTGAAGAATGAAGGACTA